TCTTTCATACACAGTATGGCCACAGCAAAGGAAATGGCAATGTGTAATGACATAACTTGCGCCCGAGCCAATGAACTCAAGAATGTTACATTTGCAAAATGTAACATTCGAAATTTCGCCGACATGATCTATTAGACAACCCATAACTGAAATATTTATTTCTTATTTTTGTTCTATTTTGCGGGGTGGTCCGTAGAGGGGGTCCGTAAGGGTAGTCCATGGACCGGTCCATAGGAAGTCCACGGACCCGGTCCGCAGTGGAGGTCTGCGGACCGGGGGTCAGTGTTTTTGGGTTACCCATAAAAAAGCATCTCAGATTGGTTTTGCATAATGATTATCTTGTCGATTGTGAAAAAGGTATTGCAAGATGCAAGGATCAAAATAACGGAGTCAGGTTACATACCAGGACAAGCATTTCCTACAGAACAAGCTCAGTTAGAAGGTATCTGCTATTGAATCAATTTTTTTTTTGTAATATAGCAGTGATACAGTAAAAATGTGGAAGCGTGCATCATAATCCAACGATGTACACTTTTGATTGAAAGACGCTTAAACATAGACATCAAAGGTGTTAGAGCAGGCATTAAAGGAGCTCAGTCATGGTATTTTGAGTTATTTTGGCCACATACGAGATTACCTTTAAATGGTAGGAAACCTGAAAATAACAGTTCAATAAGATAGAAAAACACTAAAGAGATAATGATAAACCATAAAGGAACAAGGATGTCTAAGCATGTAGAAGGTTACATGTAACACAGATTACAAACGACGAATTCAAAAAATGGGCGTAACCTTTTCAATATGTGCAAATTGTGACTGAGTTCAACCAGAGTTCCTTTAATAAGAACTCACAAAAAGAGAATTGTAAACAACTGACCTGACCACTAGCAGTCTAAACGTCATGATCAACTGTTAATAGCCTGACCCTATATAATGAGACAAATAATAAAATGTTTTTTCCACACAAACCTGACAATGAATGACACATTAAGTTGTCTTGTCTATTCTATGATTATCCGTCATGGCCTTGACAGGCTTAGAGTTAGTGGGATTGTAATTTGATTACTTATATTCTTATTTTCAGCTTTAGGAAATGTCTTAGAGAACACTGCCCTTTTTGGTGACATTCTTCTTCGACTCCCTGATATAACATACAAGGTATGTATTTGGTATGTAATTCTTCATTTGATGGGTGGGAGTTTGAGCTGGTAAGAAATTTAAATTTTGGTTAATGAATTTAACACTGTTTACACTGTATACAGTGTGAGACTTCTTATTGTGAGGAGAACTTGACCAAGGTTAAGACATGTCAATGAAACAATATGAAAATTATCAACACATTCATTGTAAGCAATTTCATGTGTGCTGTGGCTGTATTTCAGGTTTATAGTAAATCTAATGAGTGGAAACTTCTAGCTAGATGGAGTGTTAGCTTCTGTAATGAAACAAAAGTCTATGATGGAACAGACTCCAAGTTATTAAATTTGGTGAGTGCTGTTACTTGATTTTTTTTTTTCTGTCTCATGTCACCAGTACAAAACAACTTTACTCTAAATTCAATTTGTCTGTTATTATGTACTGTCTAAGTTATAAAACTTACTGTTTTGCATCAATCTGTTTTCACAGATGGCACAAGAACTGAGGCTTGTACCAAGGGATCCAAACTATATTAATCCATACAGAAACATTGCACAGAAAGAGGTACATAGCAAAACTTTCCATTGGTCAATAGAACAAATCTGATATTCAACTTCTACCTCAAAAATACACCACTTTGCATCACATTTTCAACTTTCTTGATATATTACATGAAAGATCTTCATGGTTAGAAACAAACTAAGGCAGTTGGGAAAATAGAACCTCGAAAAAATTCCCAACGAGCTTGAATGGAACCTCTATAATATTAAGGGCTGGCAAATGATCCTTCAAAAACCATGGATTTCTCAAAATTTTCGTTGAATTTCACAGCAGTTTTTTAGCAGTTATGTTTGTCTGGCAGTCTCAATTTTTCACAAAGCTGTCTGGCATTCTCAATTTTTCACAAGAAAGTCTTGAAGTACCAATTTTTTTTTTTTATAAATGATGTCTGAACATCTAAAAATCTGAACGTCTTGAGTTTGCACTTAAAACACTTTAATTGAAGTCTCGATCTCATGATTGAAGAAGTCAAAATGTCTTGGGCTCACAAAGGAAAATGCTGGTCTCGCCTTCTCACAAAGTCTTGGATTTATCATTCACCACCCCTAAGAGTGGTGCAGTGCCCTACCAACTAGGTTATCAAACCAGCTCTATTTATGAGTTGATAAATTACATACATGTAGATGATGAAGGGAAGTAAGTGAATAACTGAAATATCATAGTTTATTGATGTTTTTGAACCAGCTTGATAAGCTTGACATTTTATTCTTTGTTGCTATTATTAATTATTTCAGGATTTGAAAAGTGAAAAGAGCAAACAAGAGGACACTTCTTTAAAGAAAAACAAAAAGAAAAAAGAAAAAAAGAAAAGGGGTCCTAGATTAAGCCATGCAGAACTGTAAACATTATGGTATAAAAAGTGCCAATAACTATTGACAAAATTACACTTACGTCTCAATAGGTAACTAGGCTGTTGTGTTTTACTATCAGAGCTCAGAGTTTGATTGCAGTCCAGGGCTTCAGACTAGCTTTTTCTAGCCTTTTAGTAGTCTTGTCCTTGTAAAGAAGCATTGAAATGAACAAATGAAAGGTATGCAACATGTAACAGCAAACCACCAGCCAAATGCAAGATCAAACTGCAGGAAGAAATTATCAGGAACTTAGGTTCCATGTAGAACTGTAAATTTATCCAACAAATTACTATCAAAGGAAATATTGATAATATTTAAATATATTTACAACCTAGTATGTCATACAGTGTTGGTTTTTCAAAACTTAACATATATTAAAATGAATGTTAGGAATGTCAGGATGTTTCAATGGGAATGTATGGCTTCATTTTGGCCATTTGATCTTGCATTTCCTTGGTAGTAATTACACTTTTGGAAAATCTCTGGGCCACTGTTAATTTTTTTTAAGTAATCTTGTAATAGTACCTCAATATCTTTTAGCACTGTTTTTGTAGTGCTATACAAAAAAAATTGAAGGTATCTCAATCTACAGTGTGCTACAGTTTAAATTAAGACTTATCCATTGACTTCATCAAATGAATGCAAATTTTAGACATGTTTGGTTCCATTATTTTATTTATTATCAAATGAGTTTAATTGCAGTAAATAATCTGCAACTATCTCATACATGTAAGTTGCGTTGTTTTGAAAAACTGTATGGTGTGCATTGGATAATGGATAAATGCCACCTAAAGTATGAAATAATTCTAGTATTTTTTAGAAATACCTATTTACTTTGAGTTAATAATAAACTTTGTTAAAAGGCAGTCATTCTGTGTTCTTTATTCAATGTCACATGTCCCATGGATTTGCCATCAACAATATATTGTCTCAGCTATGCTGAGTCTTGTTTGGAATGAAGAAAAAGTGAAGCTTGTTTGGAAGAAGGCTGATTGTTATTGACTTTGCCTCAAATGGCTCACCATCAATTGAAAACCAAGAGAGCTGCAAACAACAAATGAAAGAAACAGTTACAATGGACAAACCTGACAAACTAGCATATGTTGGAATGGCAAATGTTTTTCTTAGTGGAGATATGAGTGATATCCAGATTTGAATTTTCACTGGTAACATTCCTCTCATAAATTTAGCAGTTCAGTTTGTCATCGGGACTTATCACCAACATTGACCCAAAAAAAGAATGATCAGATGCCATTTATAGCTTTTGAGAAGGACGGAGGAGTAAAAATTAATATATTCATTTGTTAAATTTAAAAATGAAGAAAAATGCCAATCAGTTTAATACCTCTTGGTCTTTAGGATCCAGTTTGAGTTGTTTCACCATCAAGCACTTGTGTCCTGAGTGACACAAATTTAATCAACACATTAGAATAAACCATGCACACGCAATGCATGCAGAAGCGATGACGTTTAAAAATTGTTCATAGAAGATTGGAACATACGCAGACAAACTGATTCTCAAACTTAACTGTAGAACTTTTGTGCTAGAAATTTTAGGGGTTTAAATTTCAGGTAGTCCATTGGTAGTTCATTCAAGTAATTCATGTACCAGGTCCATCATGTTAGTCCATGTGCTAGGGGTCAGCCAAATGTACCAACCCAAAAGAAAGATTAATAACTAAATTTTCCATTACATAGGAAAGGAATTTCTCTTACAGTGTATTATCCACCCCCAAAT